CTGTCTCAGCCTCAGCCTCAGCCTCAGCCTGCCTCGGCTTGCCTCAGCCTCAGCGTCAGCCTGCCTCGGCGTCAGCCTCAGCCTCAGCCTGCCTCAGCCTCAGCCTCAGCCTGCCTCAGCCTCAACCTGCATCAGCCTCAGCCTCAGCCTGCCTCAGCCGCAGCTTGCGTCAGCCTCAGCCACTGCCTCAGCCTGCCTCAGCCTCAGCCTCAGCGGCGCAGCTCCCTCCCGCGGCGCGCCCAAGCATGTCCGTTCTTCCGCTGCCTCGTCGTGCCGAAGAGAAGACGAACAATGTGGGAATGCGTTCCTCACTCATGTCTAGGACATTGCAAACAAATGATACTTCGGCTGGCTCGTCGGCGCCCGGCGCGCCTGCGTGATGCGCAGACGGGCGGTCGCTGGAAAATGATGAGTGGACATCGCAGCCAACGGTTTCTGCCATGTAAATGCCGAATTTCCCGCGTGGAATCGACCGGCACGAAGACAACGTCCAACGTGGCGAACATCATCTCGAAGATCGGGGGAGCCAGCGTGGGGCCAATCTCGCAGTGGGTCACCTGCCGGCTGGGTTCCTTCGGCACGAATGTGTTCGCAATGGCGTATCGCCGCCTGATGCGACATGCCATTCGCAAACCTCTGTTCGGTGCTTTGACTGTCTGTTCTGCCTCGCGGCTAAATGTACAACCGTCAACATGGCATCGACAATGTGGTCGAGCGTTCATGTCTCCATCGGTGCGCTGCTCTCAGCTAAAACCAGCGCGTCGTATATATATATATATATAAGTATATATATAAGTATATATATAAGTATATATATATATATATATATATATAAACGCTCGTCGAGCGGGCGGCGGCCGGAGGATATGCCCCAATGATCGCAATACTTCCTCCACTTGTCTTCGCGTGAATGCTTTGCGCGCGGCTTGGGGTCCGAGTCGCACCAAAAGGTCCGCTGAGAAAGCGCCCTGACATGATGACCTACGCTGGCCAACTCTTTCCCCCAGGTGCTGGAGCCCGACAAGTCAATGTGATGTGGACTCCCACTGAAACAACTCCGCTGAAACTGATCGAACTTGAATCGCCAAGTCTCTTGGATAATTGCTACGTCAATTGAACGCAAAATCGCATGCGAACCAATACGTTCGATTTTGGTGTGTGTGTCAGTCCTTCCACGCTACACGCGCGCATTTTTATGCACTCGCCGTTGCCATCAACGTATATCGAAATTGTTTTGGCCATGGTCTGCCCGTGCGTCCTAATGGCCTTTGCCCTGTATTGCCTTTACCCAGCATGCCCTTCACCCAGTCGAACTTCTCGTACGCCGTGGTCTTGAGGACGGCGATCTCTGTGGACAACTGCAACTCATCCAAACGCGGCCGCCCTTCGCTGCACCATTGTACCGTCGAAGTGCGGTCGACCACCTCTGCCTTCACGACGTCCGCCCCTGTCATCCGCAATGTCCGACACGTCGTGCCCACCTCCACCTCCTTCCGGCCGTGCCCAGAATCCACCAACATGCGTGTGAACGCGAAGAAAATGGACTCGGCGGTACGGATGTTGAACGGCGGATCTAATTTGACCTGCGGTTTTCCCGACGACCCCGCTGGAGCTTTCCGGAGAGCCGTTCTGATGGAGACCCCTCTGCATCACCGTGGAACTTTTCACGAAGAGGACGCCGTGGAAAGCTCCGCCTGGCAAAAAAGGCCTTCACGGGAGGAGAGATTCACACAGCTTGGCAGCGGGCGTTGGCCCACCCAATGGCCTTCGCGATGCCGTCCGTGTCCGGGATCTCGCCAATGACGGCCGTGAGGCTCTCATGCAGGAGGCTGTTTTGGTGGGCGTGCTGCTGGGCCTGTTTTGTCGCGTTGGTCTGTATGGCCTTCATCGTCTCCTGAAACGTGTCATCTTCACGCTGCTGATCTTGATGTTTCGATGTCATGCCAGTGGTGTGAGGCCCAATAAACCCCAATTCCTCATGCATCTTCATCTGAAGCACCGTCAAATCCGCGGAGTGCTTCGCGACTGAACGGGTGATGGGGCCGATCTCTTCCTCCAGGAAGTTCCTGACATCGCCGAACGTGACCCGCTCGCCCTCCGCAGTTGCGTCGAGGTCTTCCACGTCGCTGTCCGCGTGTGTTTTTTTAAGCATGGGCAAGCGCAAAAGAGAAGACATCATAATCTGCACTTTGGGACTTTCGGCTGAAAGACGGCGTGAAATACTGTTTTGCACTGTATGCGCGGTGTACAAGAGGATCAACCCAGAACCGGCTTGAATCCCCTTCCCCAGACCTCTCCCGGTGCTTGTTCTGACCAAAATGTTTGAGCGAATCCACCCGTGGCGACGAAGAAAGCATAGCGGTGTCAGCATGTTTTCCCCATCGCCTGACATCCGCCGATGTGTGTGTGTGTGTGATTGAATTCACGGCCCCAGAGATCCCGGCCACTTCCCTGGTTTCTCGTCGAGCGGATTCATTTTGATGGTCCCCAGGCCCCATAACCGGCCCTGGAGGCCGAAATTGAGGATAAACGACTGGATGGAAAAACGCACCCTCGGATATCTGGGATCGGCATCCTGACGGGATGTCCCGTCGGGCGCGTGAACCAACCCGACTCAGACTAAAGCCAATTCAACCAATTTGTACACCTGCGCTGCACTGTGTTCGGGGGGCTCCCAAAATCTGGCGGCTCAGTCAATATTTCAGGCCACCTCCAAGGCGGCGAGCGCCCAAGCCAGGGCTAACCAACAACCTGGTGTTCGTTTCGATGTTGTTTTGCGTGTTCGTTTCGTTCTGCAGCGTTTAGACATTTAGCACCAATAGACAAGCGCGTTCCACTGCTCGCAAAGTAAATACTCGCAAATGGCCTGGATCCGCCGCGGGCGAGTGACGATCTACTACGTCGAGGCAACCAAGTGCCCTTCGGACGTTTGCGAGCAGGCATCTCGCGAGGCACTTTGCGAGCAGTCGGACGGTCGGCCCGACTGCCCCGCGCAGCGTTCTGGCGCAGATCTGACTACCTACCAGACCACCCCAACCCAACCCGAAGACCCGAATTTCGGGTTGGGGGGGTAAGGGTTTCACACGTGTTTTTTCTATGTTTCCCGACCCCCCCCCCACTGGAAATCGAGGGTAAATCTGAGCCTTCGGGTTGGGTTGGGGTGGTTTGGTGGGTGGTGAAGATCCCAGGCCGTAGTTGGCCATCGATCCCGTGGGCGCGGTCCCGTGGACACGCGGTCGCATAGGTCGGCGGCACGCACAAGGGGGGCGGGGTGGGAGGGGGGAGAGCTTCCTAGAAAAGGGGGCTGCTTCTTAGCAGGCGCGGGCCTTACGTCTGGAGAGAAGGCCCGCGCCTCCTAGGAAGCAGGGGTGCTGCTAAGAAGCCTCCCCCCTCCCCCCACCATGTCGGGCCTGTCCCCCTGCAGGGGGACTTTCGACGACAAATAAAACATACTCCAAGAATACCCCCAAAAGGTCAAACAGAAACTCAAAACATAGTCCACAGACCATTTTCGGACTAATTTCTGATTATTCCCTACCTAGGCTCTGCCTAGAAGGGTTCTTACTCTCTTAGCTTAAAGGGGCCGGGCAGTGTAAAGCGCCCCGGGCGGTTCCCCCAGTCCCCGCCCCGCGGTTCCCCCAGTCCCCTGGGAGCTGTAGCTTTAGCTTTAGCTTTAGCTTAGCTTTAGCTTAGCTTTAGCTTAGCTTTAGTTTAACTTTAGCTTAGCTTTAGCTTAGCTTTAGCTTAGCTTTAGCTTAGCTTTAGCTAGCTTTAGCTTAGCTTTAGTTTAGCGTTGGCTTAGCTTTAGCTTAGCTTCAGCTTAGCGTTAGCTTAGCGTTAGCTTAGCTTTAGCTTAGCTTCAGCTTAGTGTTAGCTTTAGCTTTAGATTTAGCTTAGTTGTAGCTTAGCTTTAGCTTAGCTGTAGCTCAGCTGTCAGCTTTAGCTTAGCTTTAGCCTAGCTTTAGCTTAGCTGTAGCTTAGCTGTAGCTTAGCTTTAGCTTAGCTTTACTGTTACTACTAATGCTGCTTTCCTAGGGGCTCCAACTCCTACGTAGGGTCGTACTGGGATAATTTTTGGGGTATTTTTCATTTTTCGTCGAAATCCCCCTGTAGGGGGACACGCCCGACTTAACCCCACCCCCCTTCTGCGCGTGGCCGACTGGATCCACTCCGCGCAGCTTGTCCGCGAAACAGCGCTCTTCGCATTGGGCGCCCGAGTTATCCGGGGTAACTCGGGCCTGGGGCAACTCGGGTTCGGATTCCCGAAAAACGAACCCGAGTTCGCCCTGACCCGAATTAGCCCTGATGATCTGGGGCTCTGGACGCCCGAATTATCTGGGGTAACTCGGGCCCGGGGCAACTCGGGTTCGGATTCCCGAAAAACGAACCCGAGTTAGCCCTGACCCGAGTTACCCCTGATGATTCGGGTCTCTCTCCGCACCCGTGGGGTCGCGGCCCCAAAGGGGGCCTGGCCCGCGAGGCCGTGGCTCTGGACGTGTCTCCGGCGCCCGCTCTCCGCGGGCCGCGGTGTGCCGGGGCGTTCGGGTCGGGCGTGTCCTCCTGCAAGCGGGCTTTGGCCGAACAGTGAAACATACCCAGAGCAGATCCGCGAATGAGCAAACAAGAACCGAAACCTCGTCGACCATGTTTCTGAAGGGGAACTGGGACACACAAGTACACAGACACAAATGACCAGATGCCCCGTATTTTCCATATTTTCTGGGTGTTTGTCCTCCCCCCCACTTCCCATATTTTCCCATATGCTCTGGGGGATCGGCGATTCATTGTGTCTGTGTGTTTCTTTCCCTCCTGAGTCTCGGACTCTTTTTGAAGATGCCTCCTGTAGAGGGACACGCCCGACTTGACGCTACTCGGGTCGGGCGAAAGGGGGGGATAGCAAAGGGGGGGGTTGAGAATCAGCTCACGTAGCTGACTTTCCCGGCGCCTCCCGGCGCCGGGAGGCGCCCATGTATCGAGGAATGGGCCCCTCGGTGAGGCCGAAACCAGCTGCGTGCAGCAAATTTCGTACCCCCCCCTTTCCCAATCCCCCCCTTTCGCCCGGCCCGAGCTACGCCGGTGATCCATGGTCTGCGAGCGCGGGGGGTCTGCGCGGCCGCCCCCTTCGCTCGCCCGCTCGAGCGAGGGGGGCCGTGGCCAGAGCGGGCCGCGGGGCTGCTCCCGCGGCCCGTGCGCCGCCTGCGCGCCCAGGGAGACCTGTGCACAGTGGCGCCAGGAACGGAGGAAGGGAGGGATGGATTGAGGGGGCCCCAGGGCACACAAATACACACACAAGTAAAAAGATGCCCCACACTTTCCCAGATGTTCTGGGCTTGCGTCTTCCCCCCCACTTCCCATATTCTCCCATATCTTCTGCGGAAATCGACGATTCATTGTGCCTGCGTGTTTTTTTTCCCTCCTGATAGATGGCTTCCTGTATGGAGCTGTCGCCCGGCCACGAGGGTCCTCTCGGCGGAGTGCCGGCTCGGGAGCGGCGGCGCGCGAGGGGGTGGAGCGAGGAGGAGAAGGCCTTCTCAGACGGCGGCGGGGCCTCTCAGGAGCCCGCCGGCCTTCTAAGAGGTTTTCTGTGTCCTCGGGGAAGGAGGCTCATAAAACACTTCTACAGTCATCGGCCTGACCTAAGGAACGATAAATAAGGAACGAAGCCCCTTTTGTATCCCAAGGAATCACGCATAAGGAACGAAAAATAATACATAACGCATAAGGAACTCTAAATAACGCATGCAAGCCTAAGGAACGACCGAGCCCCTTTTGAAACGTAAGTGTTCCTTATTCAAGCCGCTCACTGTAGAGTGCTGGGGGACTTCCGAACCCTCTGAGGATGCCTTTTCCTTCCCACCTCCCCCCCTCGCTCGCCGCCGAAGGATCCATGGACATGCCTCCCGCCCACGGATAGAGGCCTCCTAGATGGGATCCGAGTAGATCAAGGGCTCCCAACTTCGCGCTTCGCGCTGCGCGAAGCGCGAAGTGCGGATAACTTCGCGCTCTCGCGCCGCCTCCCAGGGGAGGAGAGGAGGATGAAAGGAAATCGGAGCCGAACCGCGAAGCGCGAATAGCTTCGCGCCCTCGAGGGCGCCCTTGAGTAGATGGGGTCGGAGCATCTCGCCGCATCGCCGATACATCGGCGATGCATCGGCGATGCATCGGCGATGCACTGGCGACGTCGGCGATGCATCGGCGACGTCGGCGTTCAGAAAATTGGGTCCCACATCGAGCCGCATCGCCGATACCCCGCCGAGGCATCGGCGATGCGGCGCGATCCTCCCGCCCCATCTGCTCCGACCCCATGCAGGAGGTCTAGGATCGGGGGCGGCCAAGAGGAGGGCGTCCAAGAGGGGGGGGCGCAAATCATGGCCGGCGGCATGTGCGCGGCCTGGGGGGTGGGGGGGGCGGGGGACGCATTGAAACAAGAAGAAACGCCATGAAATCTGGGGAGATACCATGGCCCACGCCGCGATATCCAACCCCCCTGGTCATCACCCCCCTCTTGGCCGCCCCCGATCGAAACGTCGACCCCCAGAGGTCTGGACCCCTTCCGCGGGACCAGTTTTTCATGCGGAGTCTTTTTGGGATTGTCCCGACGCTCGGTGAGGGCCCCCAGGGGCCGAAAACAGCGAACCCTTCCCCCCTCTTGGCCGCTCCCGACGTCTAGGAAGCCCAGGACGAAGGTTCTCGGCGGTGTACGGGTTCTGACCCGGGTCAATGCAGACCCGGGTCAGTCAGGCCTCGCAGAATCCTGCAAATCCTGCAAGATCCTGCACCCTAACCAAGGTCAATGCGAAAGATCCTGCAAGATCCTGCAGGGTCCTGCAGGATCATGCGCCCAAACCCGGGTCAATGCGACCATGGCCGTGCAGGATCCTGCAAGATCGTGCTCTCTGTGGCTGACCCCTGCTTGCATTGACACCCGTCTCAAGGCTCCCGAAAGGTCCACGGGGACGCACTGAAACTAGCAGCAGCGCCAGAAAGTCTGGGGATGTCTCTCGAGGCCCACGCCGTGATATCCACCCTCCCCTCTGGTCATCACCCCCCTCTTGGCCGCCCCCGACCTCTAGGATCGGCTACCCGTAAGAGTGACCCTGGGTAAGAGTGACCTTTGGTGCGCGGCTCATTGGGGACCGCGGGGGCCCAAACATGAGCGCGCAAGACGCTGCTGCCCCCTCGCGTTCGGCCATCGGGGGGCCTCCTTGGGCCCGCACCATACGTCACTCCAGCGAAAGGTCACTCTTACGTTATATGAATACAATTATGCATGAACTCATCGTTGTTTTTAGTACTAAGCCCTTGCATTTTGAATACATGATCCGCGCGCGGAGCATGTATTAAAACCGGCGCTGTACTCGATAGGAGGCCCAGGACGCGGGTCCTCGGCGGTGTAGCGGTTCTGGATGTTCCGCAGCATGAGCGTCGTCGTGCCCGCGGCCCAGGCGTGCGCCCCGCCGGGTGGCGGGGGCGCGCCCTGGCCAGCGGCCTCGGGGCCTCCTCTCGGGAGGAGGGGGGGGGGGGGCGAGCTCTGCAGGGCTGGAGGAGCATGGGGCCCAGGGGCGCACAAACAGCTGCTCACAACGACCCCCAAGATGCTCCATGATTTTTCCAACATCTTCAAGGACCAATTCCAACATGTTCAGGGTTCCCCAGAGCTTCCGATACCTTCGAGGTTTGCGCCTGCCCTCCCCCTGCCCATCTCATTCGATGCTTTCCTGGGAGGCGGAGCGGCCTGGGCGCCCCAGGATGCCCAAGTGGTTCTGGGAGCCCAAACGCAGCGCAATTTACCCGGGAACGTGGCCTTGGGAGCGCGGACGCAGCGTAATTCACTTGGGAGCGCGACCCTGGGAGCGCGGATGCAGCGTAGTTTACGAGGGATCATGGCCCAAGGAGGGCGGTCGCAGCGTATTTTTAGAAAGGATCGTGGCCCTGGGAGCGCGGACGCACCGTGATTCCACCAGCCCTCTGGGCGTAGGTGGTTTAGGGCGTTTCCTCTTCCACCCGTCCCTCTTCCCCTTCAGGGACGGCTTAACCCCTCCCCCTCCCCCATCCCCTGGACCTGGACGGGGCGTTCCACGAGCGGTCGGAGTGTCCAAAACGGCCTCGGCGAGGAAGCCAACATCATGTGTTTTACTAACATTTGTGTGCGCGGCCCGCTTAGCTTCGACCGGAAGAGGCTCGCTCCCGACCCGCAGATCAAACAGTTTTACCAATGTTTTCGCCCGATGTTGGCCCCTTGGGGGGGCAGCGCTAATCAAGGAACCGCCCGTCTTTGATCGATCTCCTCCGAACTGGCCCCACGAGCGCTCCCAAGACCCCCAAGGGCGCCCCAAGAGAGCCCAAACAGGTGGCCAAGCGGCCCCAAGAGGCCCCCAAGAGGCTTCCAGGATGCCCCCGAGAGGCTCTCAAATGACCCCCAAGAGGCCCCCCAGAGGCACCCAATACGCTCAAAGAGGCCTCAGCGAGAATGCCAACATCATTGATTTTACTAAGGTTTTGGCCACATTTTGGCCTCCTGTGGGGGGGGCATTGCTTAAGATGACTCTAAGAGCGCCTGGGAAAACCCAAGATGTCCTCCAAGATGGCTCAAGATATCCCAAATGCCTCAAGATGGCTCCCACGATGCTCGAAGAGGCCCAAGACCGTTCCAAGACGGCCTCAAGTGGACAAAGAGCTCACCCAGGCCCCGAAGAGGCCCAAATCCGTTTAAAACCTAGGGAACATGAATGTTTTTGGCTTTCTCACCTTTTCGCTTCCAATGGCCATCCGAGGCCTCGAGATGGCGTCAAAATGGTTCAAAGATGGCCGAGGAGGGTTCCAAGAGCGTTCCCAAGGCTCCCAAAAACGCTTCAAGAGGGCCCCTAGAGGCGCCCATGAGGTCCCAGGAGGCCCCAACAGGCGCCCAAGAGGCCTCCAAGAGGCTCCCAAGAGACCCCAAGAGGCCCCAAGAAACTCTCCGAGGCACCCAGGACGCTCTAAGAGGCGTGTGGAACCGCCAAAAGGCCCCCAAGACGCTCCAACAGGCCTCAACTGGGGGACCCTTCCTCTGTGTGCTGCCCACTTCCCTGATGGAGGCAATTCCTGTGGGCATCGTTTCTGGATGGGCTAGTGGGACTACTTTTAGTCAACGGCCGCGGGCGGAAGCGCCGGCGGCGTGTCAAGTCGAAGCGGGTGCGCGCCACAGACTAATTAACAGCAGAAAACTGGGGCACAAAACTGCCAGGCTGGTGGGACTACTTTTTTCTTTTTCGGTCGCGGCCGCGAGACGACGGTCAGGAGGCGAAAGCAAAGTCTGGCACGCGAACTAGGCGAATTAGTTGAGACAGGCGCAAGCCGGCCGGCCCACTCAGACGGCAGCTGCGGGCTGGGTGAAGCTGAACTGATCGGCGCACTGCAAGCTTGGGCACGCGCACTGGACAAACTGTCACGGAATTCAAGCGGCCAAGGCACAACCCGCACAGAGGGGACGCGGACCTCGGTGGGCAAGTCCTTCGTGCATGGTGACGACGTGCTGGCCATGCTGGTGGGACTAGCCGGCCGCTCTGCGGTTGATCGGGAGTTTCTGTATATAGAAGAAGGTGCGTGCGCTTGTTGGCGAGGGTGATGAGGTTCCTCCTCCTCCTCCTCCTCCTCCTCCTCCTCCTCCTCCTCCTCCATCCTTCTCTTGCCTCCGTCTGTCCTCCTCCACCCCACAGCTCCATCATCTCTCCTCCTCCTCCTCCTCCTCCTCCTCCTCCTCCTCCTCCTCCTCCTCCTCATTCCTCCTCTGGGCACCTCCCCCGGGGCGCGGATCCACCGGATCTGTCCGGATCTGTCCGGAAACGGTGCCGGAGGCCGCTCTGGGCTCCTCTGGGCACCTCCCCCGGGGCCGGTTTTGTGAGGATGTCTCAAGCGAGGGCGCCGGTTTGGGATCGTCGGATCCACCGGATCCAGCGGATCTGTCCGGAAACGGTGCCGGAGGCCGCTCTGGGCTCCTCTGGGCACCTCCCCCGGGGCCGGTTTTGTGAGGATGTCTCAAGCGAGGGCGCCGGTTTGGGATTCGTCGGATCCACCGGATCCAGCGGATCTGTCCGGAAACGGTGCCGGAGGCCGCTCTGGGCTCCTCTGGGCACCTCCCCCGGGGCCGGTTTTGTGAGGATGTCTCAAGCGAGGGCGCCGGTTTGGGATTCGTCCGGATCCACCGGATCCAGCGGATCTGTCCGGAAACGGTGCCGGAGGCCGCTCTGGGCTCCTCTGGGCACCTCCCCCGGGGCCGGTTTTGTGAGGATGTCTCAAGCGAGGGCGCCGGTTTGGGATTCGTCACCGGATCCAGCGGATCCAGCGGAATCCACCGGATCTGTCCCGGAAACGGTGCCGGAGGCCGCTCTGGGCTCCTCTGGGCACCTCCCCCGGGGCCGGTTTTGTGAGGATGTCTCAAGCGAGGGCGCCGGTTTGGGATTCGTCACCGGATCCAGCGGATCCAGCGGATCCCGGATCTGTCCGGAAACGGTGCCGGAGGCCGCTCTGGGCTCCTCTGGGCACCTCCCCCGGGGCCGGTTTTGTGAGGATGTCTCAAGCGAGGGCGCCGGTTTGGGATTCGTCACCGGATCCAGCGGATCCACCGGATCTGTCCGGAAACGGTGCCGGAGGCCGCTCTGGGCTCCTCTGGGCACCTCCCCCGGGGCCGGTTTGTGAGGATGTCTCAAGCGAGGGCGCCGGTTTGGGATTCGTCACCGGATCCAGCGGATCCACCGGATCTGTCCGGAAACGGTGCCGGAGGCCGCTCTGGGCTCCTCTGGGCACCTCCCCCGGGGCCGGTTTTGTGAGGATGTCTCAAGCGAGGGCGCCGGTTTGGGATTCGTCACCGGATCCAGCGGATCCAGCGGATCCAGCGGATCTGTCCGGAAACGGTGCCGGAGGCCGCTCTGGGCTCCTCTGGGCACCTCCCCCGGGGCCGGTTTTGTGAGGATGTCTCAAGCGAGGGCGCCGGTTTGGGATTCGTCACCGGATCCAGCGGATCCAGCGGATCCACCGGATCTGTCCGGAAACGGTGCCGGAGGCCGCTCTGGGCTCCTCTGGGCACCTCCCCCGGGGCCGGTTTTGTGAGGATGTCTCAAGCGAGGGCGCCGGTTTGGGAGTCGGATCCAGCGGATCCACCGGATCTGTCCGGAAACGGTGCCGGAGGCCGCTCTGGGCTCCTCTGGGCACCTCCCCCGGGGCCGGTTTTGTGAGGATGTCTCAAGCGAGGGCGCCGGTTTGGGATTCGTCACCGGATCCAGCGGATCCACCGGATCTGTCCGGAAACGGTGCCGGAGGCCGCTCTGGGCTCCTCTGGGCACCTCCCCCGGGGCCGGTTTTGTGAGGATGTCTCAAGCGAGGGCGCCGGTTTGGGATTCGTCACCGGATCCAGCGGATCCACCGGATCTGTCCGGAAACGGTGCCGGAGGCCGCTCTGGGCTCCTCACCTCCCCCGGGGCCGGTTTTGTGAGGATGTCTCAAGCGAGGGCGCCGGTTTGGGATTCGTCGGGCGGATCCAGCGGATCCACCGGATCTGTCCGGAAACGGTGCCGGAGGCCGCTCTGGGCTCCTCTGGGCACCTCCCCGGGGCCGGTTTTGTGAGGATGTCTCAGCGAGGGCGCCGGTTTGGGATTCGTCGGATCCCGGATCCAGCGGATCCACCGGATCTGTCCGGAAACGGTGCCGGAGGCCGCTCTGGGCTCCTCTGGGCACCTCCCCCGGGGCCGGTTTTGTGAGGATGTCTCAAGCGAGGGCGCCGGTTTGGGATTCGTCACCGGATCCAGCGGATCCAGCGGATCCACCGGATCTGTCCGGAAACGGTGCCGGAGGCCGCTCTGGACTCGTGCTCTTCGCGCCGGGGGTGAGGATGACGTGAGTTCCACAGAAACTCCCTCAAACAATTGATCTTGGCCCGGGGGGCGCGGACGCAGCGTACTGCACGAGGGATCGTGGTACTGCTAGCGCGGGCGCAATATATTTACAAGGGGTCGTAGCCCTGAGAGCGCGGACGCAATGTAATGGACAAGGGATCGTGGCCCTGGTGGCGCGGACACAATGTAACTTACAAGGGGTCGTAGCCCTGAGAGCGCGAACCCATTGTAATTTACAATGGATCGTGGCCCTCGGAGCGCGAACCCATTGTAATTTACAAGGGGCCGTGGCCCTGGAGTGTGAACCCTGTGTACTTTCCTGGAGATCATCGCCCTGGGAACGCGAAACCAATACTAGCTGGCCGCTCTGCGGTTGATCGGGAGTTTCTGTATATAGAAGAAGGTGCGTGCGCTTGTTGGCGAGGGTGATGAGGTTCCTCCTCCTCCTCCTCCTCCTCCTCCTCCTCCTCCTCCTCCTCTCCTTCTCTTGCCTCCGTCTGTCCTCCTCCACCCCGCAGCTCCATCATCTTCTCCTCCTCCTCCTCCTCCTTCCTCCTCCTCCTCCTCCTCCTCCTCCTCCTCCTCCTCCTCCTCCTCCTCATTCCTCCTCTGGGCACCTCCCCCGGGGCG